TTATATATAGAACAGAAAGTGAAAATCCTGAAGCCCAGAGAGTCACCAATACTTAGGCATATGCTAAGTTAGGGTTTTGTAAAACAGGATTACATATGCCATTATAGACCATGCTTATTCCCCCACTCAATCAAGGACATTTCTAGATATAGGAGAACAAATTTTTGTATTCTCCTATGAAAGGTAATACAGACTCCACTGTCTGGTCAAGTTGTAACTTAACTAGTGCCTTACTGCACAAGCTACCCAAGGGTTCCAGACTGTCCCTAGTGTAAGACAGTGCTGCAGTCAGGAAATACTTGTGGGTAAGGGAAAGTCAGCAGGAGAACTGTCTCTTCTTTAAGGGTCTGTTATGGGCTGGGGCTGTGACAGTCACCAGCTGACCTGGTTGTGTCAGGGGCTGTGGGAGCCTAGGAAGAGCCCTCTCACCAGGGCTGGGTGTCCCAAGTTCTTCCTTGGTCCCTCCTTCCAGGTTTATATCACCCACTGGATGAGAGTCTGGAACTGGACCAGACTCTTTGAGCCTGGTCAGAAATCCTGTTATTACAACACCTCCTTGTACAGGTGAGCCCTCCCTCGTTTCAAGCTTTGGGACACTGGGCAAATTCCTTCCACTTTACGGACCTGAAAGCCATGATGCGGGGCCCTGCCAGCTCCAGGCCTGGGCTGTGGAAACCAGGCAAGGCAGAGAAGTGGAAGGTCTCAGCTGGCCCTGTGCCAGGATGCTGTACCTGCACCATGGGGAATCCCTACCCTGAGAATGTAGGTGGTGCAGGTAAACCAGGGCCTCTAGAGAGGCCAAGTAACCTCCCGCTGTCGCACAGCTAATGGCCATGCTGGGAGTGGGTCTCAGGGCAGGCCTTCTCCCCCGGGGCAGACTGTTGTCCCCCTACCCTCCTGACGGGGTGTGTCTTTCTACCTGGATCATTGGTAGCTGGCAGCTTGCAGATGATAAGTGGAAAAGCTCGATCTGTGACTGCTGCAACTTTGGCTGTTCCCACCCAAAGAAAAGGTGACACCAAGTACAGTGGGGGTAGGGCCAGGTCAGGGAGGCTGCTGGGGGAGGCGCTGCTCTGGGAGCCTTTGGCTTGTGTGGGCAGATGGACGTCACTGCATCCATCATGGGAGTGGGCTCTGGGCTGGGAGAAGGGGGACAAGATGAGGAGTCAGGGGCAGGGGGCTCTGAAGAAATCCTGGCTTGGGTGGGGTCAGCTGTGGGCTGGCCAGTGACCTTGAACCTCTTTTGTTCTTTGGGTGCTTTGGGGAGGAAGCTCAAGTTCCAGGACATAAGGTGGGTGCTCCAATAACTTGTTCCTTGCTCCCTTACTGAACAAATATAATAAAGCATATATATAACCACCCTAGAAAACTCAGATACCTCAACAGGGTATGATCCTGCCACCCACGTAATCATTAACTAACATCCTAGTGTAGCCATATCCCGGTGGCTTTTGCTATATATATAGGTACACATTAATATAATGCTACAGTTTCTGTGATATTATATAATATGCTTCTATAGTGCTCTATAGACGGCTCTGTAGGTCAGATACCTCTTTTACATTTCGATGGTATAATAATTCATGGAATGGGCATAGTAGAATTTAACCAGTACCGTGTTTTTTTTTTTTTTTCCTTTTTTTGTCTTTTTTCGTGACCGGCAACGGATCGTAACCCTCAGTGTCGCGCCTGTACCGGACCGGGACCGGCAACGGGATCGCAACCCTCGGTGTCTTGCCCGCACCTCGCTCAGCCAGTGAGCGGCCGGTCTGTATGTGGGATCCGAACCCTCGGCGGGAGCGCCGCTGCGTTCCCAAGCAGCACACTGCAGCAGTGTGCCACCGGGCCGGCCCAACCAGTACCATGTTAATAGATATTTGTGTTCTGTTTTCTCTTAAACCCTAGATCACACCTCGCTGTCCCTGCCCCCATTTAGCAGATGACCCCAGACCTGCTCAGGGGTGGAAACTGGATATGGGCTTCTGCCAGGGGCCAAGAGGAGACCTTGTCCTCCCTCCAAGCAGGGGAAGGAGGAGATCCTGGGCTGACAGCTTCCCCTTCACAGAGTTCCCGGGGGAAGGGGACACTTATATGGTGGTTGCAGGGCCACTGACAGTCAAGAAGCCGCCAGTGTCATGGTTTAAAGGTAGGTGTAGGGGCTGGGGAGCAGCCTAGGTCCTAAAAAGACTGGTACCTACTCCCCGCACCACTACCCAGGTTTATGGACAGTCCTTCCCGGTCCCATTCCACTGTCTCTTCCTGTCCCAGCCACGTCCTTGCTTCCCCTCATGCTCCTGGCTTTTCTTTTCCTACCTTGGTGAATAAGGCTGGACTTGCGGTCAGTGGTCAGCTCTAGCTGTCCTGCCCAGCATGCCCTGCCCCTCTGGGTGGTCCTTAGGTGCTCCTGGCCCCTACTCCCAACCTCCTGCAAGACGCTGAAGGACTTCCTTGCAGCCATGCTGGCCTTCACCTGCGTGATCCCGCTGCTGCTGCTGCTGCTGCTGCTGCTCCTGCTGGCCCTGAGGAAGGAACTCAGGGTCTTCCAGCCATGCTGCCCTCCCTGTATCTTGAGAAACATGCTGAGGCAGCCCCCCCCCACCAACCCCGATGCCAAGGAGAGGGGGCTGGTGACCTGGGCAACGAAGACATACTCTTCTGAGGAGGTTGATGGGGAGTCCCAGGCTACCTTGGAGGGAGACTTGGGGGATTCAACCCCTTCAGAAGACAACTGCATAGGCCTTTTATATATTGATAATAAAGTTTTCTATTTCTCTAGCAGTCTTATCTTGCCTTAACTTTTTGTGTCACTTGTGTTGGTTTATGTGTCAACAATTACAGGGGACAAACCTGACTCTTAACTGCAGACATGAATGAAGGTGGTTGATGCGGTGGTGGGTTCCCAGGCAAGCAGTAAGAGGCAGGGCCTGATTAGCACAGCATGGAGCTGCCTACGAGTTGCCCTGGCCTGAGGTCTTCACTGTAAGGGGCCCAGCCTTTCAGCCTCAGCTGCCAAATTTGACCCCTCCCATGGGAAATAGCCGGTAGCCACCATATTTGGCTTCCCCAGGGCAGTCAAGGCCTCTCCTTCCCTGGCTCTTCCTCGGCATTTCTGGGCTGTTGGAACTGGAAGTCCCGAGTCCTTAACTTTCCTTCTCACACAGTGGGGAGCCTGCAGGCCTTGGTCTTCCTGCCTCTGCGCTGCTTGCTGACCACCGCTGGAATGGGGGCCCATTGGCCAAGGGTACAACCTGGGTCTTTCCCACCCCCATGCCACCTCCTGGACGTTCGGAGTTGGAGCTGAGCATCTGGTCCCTGACAGAGGCTGGAGCTGGGCAGGGCTGCTTCCCACCGGCTGTGGGTACCGAGCAGGAGCTGGCTGGTCACAGCTGGCATCGGTGGAGACCAAGGAGCACTTTTTGGATGTTGGCTTCAGCGCTGGCCTTCAGCTCCCTGCACTCCCCTGCCTCCTGGTAACAAGTCCCTCCTGCTCAGCTGCAGCAGAGGAGCTCTGACAAATGAGGGTAAATAACAGCACTGCTCACAGCATCCTCAGCCCCAAGGGTGCAGTGTCTGTGTCCTCATTATGCTGCTGGCTGCAGCATGGTGTGGGGCCTTTCCCTCAGTGGGCAAGGGTGAGACCACCCTGTCCCTCCACCCTGCACCCACTGATGCTGAGCCATCCTCTCCCAAGACCCCATGACATGCTTGGCCCAAATTGCAGGTACTGCCACCATCTTCCAAGAGTGCAAACCCAATCCCCTCTTTCCTTACCCCCTCCTTTCTCTCTCTTCTCTCCCTCATCCCTCATTCGTAGAGTTGCCAGATAAAATACAGGATGCTCAGCTAAATTTTAATTTCAGATAAACAATGAATAAATTTTAAGAATGTTTCAGATATTGCTTTTTCTTTTTTTTTGCCTTTCTGAATATGACAACCCTCACCTACTCTCCTGCTCCTCCTCCATGCTCCCCCACCCCCAGTTCAGGAAGGATGCCGTCTTTCCCTGCTCTGGCAAGTCACTAGTGGTAGGGGCGAAGAGGTGGGGAGTGCAGCCTTAGCTTCAATTCTATTTCTGCCACCCATGGGCTGAAGGAAACAAGGCCAGTGCCTTTGGGAGGTCAGTATCCCATCTATAAAATGCAGATAAACTCCTGCACCCATAAAGCATGCAGAAAAGTGCTCGAAGCAGCTGAACATTTACTTGATCAGCTTCAGAGTCAAACCTCAGAGTCTTCCCGTGGCTGGGCTCACACTCAGCAGGCTGGACCCTCAGCTCATTCCCAATGAGCCCCTCATGGCACCAGCCAAGTCCTTAGGTTGCCACCCATCCCCACTCCCAGTGTAATCTGGCTCCTCCTGGCAAGAGTTGTGTCAGGACCTGGGGCTCAAGCCAGCATCTCCACATCCCCAACTTGGAGCAGGAGGTTGGAAAGGAAACTCTGGAGCTCTGGGTTCTCCTCCAGGCACCCAGGGTTGTGGTGGATTTCAGAAGGTAGCACTTCACAGATGACATGCGGCCAGCGGACAGGATGCTGGGCTTGGAAATGCAAGCCCTGCCCCACACTGCTGTGGGTCTCCATGGCTACAGCTGCCCAAGGGGCTTATCACCTCCTCCATCCACAAAGACAGATTGGAGAGGGTGACACCCAGGGCTCTTCTACTGGAATACCTAGGACAAACAATTTACTCCTACTCTCCTCTTCTGTAAAGGTATGGTCTTAAGAGGTGTTATTAGTGGGCAAATAAGAGCAATGTCTTTGGAGTAAAGAAAAAACAAAAACATGCTGGATCCTGGATCTGCCTCTTAAGCTGTCTGATGTTGAGTGAGTGGCTTCACCTCTCTGAGCCTCAGTTTCCTTATCGATATATTGGCCATGGGAATAGCATGAGGATGAAAGGATCTAAGCTCATAAATTGCTTGGCACAGTATCTGGTACACAGAGAGCACTCACCAAATGATAGCTGTGATTTTTTTATTATTGTGCCATGCAGCAGGTAGAGCCAGATGTGACTTCTTTTGCTTCCAGAAAAATTCCTTTAATTGCTCAAAACAACTGTGAGCTCCAAGGGAAGGGGGTGAGAGTGGGAGTGATGGATGGGGAAGGAAAAGCACCCCAAATTAGACAAAGCCTGATGTAGGCATCTCCTATCAGAGGCACATGGCCTTTGCAGCCTGGGGACTCCAAGAGGCAGCCATTGCCAGGAATCTGGGGGCCAGATCACCTGAAACTCCAGGAAAGAGTCCATCCCCTCCACACCTCTGCCCCTGTCCAAGGTTCTGAAATCCACCCAATGTAGGATCCTCCTTGTCATTCGCACCCATGAATTGCCTGCTCCCTAACTTCTAGTCCTCCACTCACCCCACAAGTATACACTGAGCATCTACTGTATAGGGAGTGGAAGCAAAAGGATTTAGATGCATCTTCAACACAAGTTGTTCACAGATCACAGGGAAGGAATTCAAGCACTCACAAATGCTGTAGGATAGGTGAAGACAAAAGCTGGGGGATTCATTTTCCTATTTCTTGGGTTTCAGTGACATCTGCCTCTTGCTTTTACCCTTGCTTCTTTCTCTTCTGCAGCCTTTGCATCCTCCAAGGCTGTGTCTCTCATGCCTTTCCTGATCTGACCACAGCAGATGAATCTTCCCAAGCACAGCTCTTTCTGTACTCACTAAGTCACAGACAGAGTCAGGAGGACTAACGATCTATTTCAGGGAGGGAGAGCAAGATACATAGAGAGAAAGCAGAGGGTTAGGGGTGTCTGAGAAGGGAGGAAGCCAGCTAGATAGGAGTGAGCTCTTTGTCGTATTTCTGCATGCCCTCATCGGGGAGCAGCACTTCCACTGTGAAGCTAACCTTCTTGGCGTGGACAAAGCTATAGGTGTTGTCGAAGCGCAGGACATCTGGAGGACAAATGGAAAGATGGGCAGTTGGATCTGGCTTCACACTTTCTGTGTCTCTGCCCCGGTCATGGGGAAGGACAGGTTTGTGTTTCTACCAGCTTTGTTTGCCAGGCCAGGGCAAGTTCCCACCACGCCTTTTCCCTTCCCCATGGGAACTGCCACCCCAAGCAGGGACTGTAAACAGATGCTGACCTCCCCCTGGCACATGCCCAGGCCTGGCTTTAGTTGCACCAACTGGCAATGAAACAATGGTCATTGCATCCCATTGTCTCCACACCTGGACACTCACATAACTGGGGGTGCGAAGGGGACAGTGGGAAATACCGGAGGCCTCCCAGTTCCCCTGGGCCAGGGCTGCTGCACACCGTCTGCCTCCTCACAAACACCCCAAGAAGTGAGTCAGCCAAGAGTCCTTCCTAGATTGACCACTTTTGCCCAGGGTTATGCAGCCAGCCCGAGGCTGAAGTGGGACGCTGGCACCACACTCAGCTATGTGGCTCTGCACAAGTTGATTTACTCCTCAGAGCCCCAGTTTCCTCATGGGCAAAGCCACACCTGCCGTATCGATCCTTGCCTGTATCCTGCAGCCTAAGTGCCCTCAACTCCTTCAGGCCTGTGTTTCTCTGGCTCTTGGTGCACAGTAGGTGCTCATGAGTGTGGACTGAGTGAACATCTGTGGGAATGAATGGCACTAACCCAGGCTTTGGAGGGGGGGGGATTGTCACTGTCTCTCTGTTTCCTCCTCTAAACTGTGGGACAGGTGGCTCCAGCCTTCTGGACCCAGGTCCCAGGTGGGGCAGACTTACAGACGCCAACCTCTGAGCAGGTGAGGCTCCCGTCTTCAGGCACCATGTGGGCATTGCAGCGTTGGCTGGGCAGCACCTCCATCATCTCCCCTGCCCGCTGCCGCTCCCCCATCTTGGTCTTCAGGAAAATCCCAAAGCCGATGTCCCCACCATCAGATGAAAACTGCCACCTGTGAGGGGGAGAAGGGACAGGTTGCTGCTCAGCCTGATGGGTCCCTGAGGGGTTAGGGCTAGTCAGGTGTGGGACAATGGCCTATGCCTACCTGAGGACACAGCCTGGAAACAGAATCTCGTATTCCACCTGGTGGGAAGAGCCACGGTTGATCTGCACTGAGTGCTCGTATTGAGTCTTCACCTGGTCCCGCACATACATGGACTTGGGGATCTCCCCACCATAGTTGATCTGTGGACACAGGATGGGATGGGCTTGCTCCCCTCTCCTGGTCTTTGTTCCTGACATTTCTCCTGCCCTAGACACTTTCTCCTGGAAGTATACCGCTCAACATGTTCCCTACACCTCCTACAGCCTTCCCTGACCTTCCGGGCTGGGCCGGGGCTTCCTCTGGAGAGCTTCCCCTTCCAGCTCATCCGTCTGAGCTAAAATTCCCTCATTTCTTGTTTGTCTGTATGGCTGTTGAAAACCCCAAAAGGGCAGGGCTGGGATTGTCTAGCCCAACACCTAGTTCACAGGGGTTTCTCTACAGATATTTGTGGAATGAATGAGTGGATGGGAAGGAAACCCAACTCTGCTCTCTAACCCTCCCCTGTCCTGGGCTCTTCATACCTTGGTTATACACTTGGGATTCCCATCTGGGTCAGTCATTGTTCCGCCAAATTGGACAGGCAGTTCCTCAGGACTGATGAATTTCAGCAAACCTTCCTTCCAGTTGTCTGGGAGCAGCAGGATTGAAGGATGGTTATCAAGCATAAAGGGGACAAATTATCCTCCCATGTCCACCAGGCTGACCTGAACTTGGAGAGAAACCCTGCAGGAGGTTGGCTGCCAGGGACAATTCCCCATTCCTCCTCCTCTCAGTGTCATGTTGCTATAGAAATGTGTTTTCCCTTGGCTGGTGGGGCTGCACACTCTTGAAGGTCGTCAAGCCATGAGTAGTAAACCTAAGAGCTTTCTAATTGTCTCAAGGAGACTTTAAAGCCCAATGAGGCCAAGGACCTTGTTGGAGTCACTCAGTGAGTAAGTGGCATACCCGCGTCAGACCTCTCAGTGGGGGGTGGGCAGCCCTGGGCCTTTGGAGAGACCCCCCTGCTTCTTCATATCCCCTCCCCCACCAGCTTAATCACCACAACCATAATTGCCATTATTGTTCTTCATACCCTAAGGAAATCTCTGAGCTCTGGGTCTTAGGATGTCACCATGGCCCCAGACCTGTGGCTAATCCAGCCTACCCCCCACCCCATGGCCATGGGAGATTTCTTTTCTTCAGTGGGATAAGGGCAAAGACAACAAAGCCTGGCATACTAGGGCCAAATGTGCACAGCGTCATGGGGCACCTAGTGGGGCAGAGGCCTTGGACTTGGGGCCTGGACTTTGGCTGTAACCCAAACTGCTCCAGGATTTGGTGGGCTTAGAAGGCAGGGGCCTGGGCTCCTTAAACCAGGCTACCTTGTGATTTATCAAGTGGAACTGGGTAGCGGCAGAGGCTCAGATATCAAGAAGGGAGAGAAAGTGAGCATTCGTAAGACCCCTCTGCCCCTCATCCTCATCCCTGGATCCTCAGTTTTCTTGATTCTGTGAGCTGACCATTCATTCTACTTGGGAGTTTTTTCTCCAAGCTCAGGGTCATTGGTTTGATTTTAAGAACTATTTTCCATCTATCTTACTGTTGCCCAACCACTTTTTAAAATAACTATTTTTCCTACTATCTACTTTTTTTTTTTACTTACTGACATTTCCGATGACATTAAATATTTACTCACAGCATTATTTTTCATGCTTCCTCAAATTCATCAAATGTGTGCATCATTATTTACTTATCCAGTCTCTTCTTGTTGGGCCTCCCTTCTCTGAATCATGTTTACTCTTCCTGATCTTCTTCCTCATCTTCCTCATCCCAAGTTGCCTTTAGAAGCACTGAGTTTATGAACGTCAAAAGGAAACTGAGGCCCATAGACCAGAGGTTAAATGGCAACCAAACTGAAACCCATAAGGAGATACATGTGAAGGCCTTATTCACCAAAGATGTATGGCAGGAAGTAAGGCATAGGTAACTGATAGACTCTATAGGGTGAAACCCACCTCACTTTTGGGATGAAGGAGCCTCTGACCCTAGCTGATGCGTGCAGTTCTGGATCGGGTGATGAGCCAACCTCACTTCAAAGTTCCTGTATAGATCTCAGAGAATGGAGCTGGCACTACTTACTTCCCAACACTATAATTTTCCTGCGAGTGTCCTCACTTAGGAAGGGCTTCATGAGGTTGTAACCCACAGGGAACAGTTTGGTGGCTGGAAAGATAGAAATAAAGATAATGGGTAGAGAAAAATTCCACTGGGCCACTCTCTCCATAATGATGATAGTTAATAATATAGACAAGTTTTGACTAAACTCTGGATAGTTTCAATGCCCTGCATCCAAAAAGCCATCCAACCAACTAGCCAACCAGCCAACAAACAGCCAACTAACCAATCAAGCAACCACTCATCCAATCTATCAACCACCTGCCCAGCCAACAAACCAGTCCATCATCCAATCTTCTAATCAGCTACCCATTTAGTCAACAAATAAATAAGCAACCTACCAAACAGCCAACCAACTATTCAACAAGCCAGCCAACCTACCAACAAAGAGTCAACCTTCTAACCAGCCAACCAATCAGCCAACTTACTAAATAGTCAAACAACCACATAGCAAATCAGCCAAACAACAAACCAACCAGCCAACTGAACAGCCATATAACTACCCAACCAATTGCCCCCTCCACCCTATTGCTAACTATTCAAACAACCAGCCAGCCAACCATCCAAATAACCAGGCAACCATTCAAGATTCAGCCAAACAGCAAACCAGACCGCCAATGAACCAACCTGCCAACCAGCTACCCAAACACTAATCACCCCAAATGCCAACCAGCCCTCCAATCAGTCAACCAAGCTAACAAATAGCCAATGAATCAGCCAGCCAACTCTCCAACCAACCACCGATCAATTGACTAGCCAGACAACCAATAGGCCGGTCAGCTGGAAAACCAACCAAGGAATCAATTGATCAATGAACCAACAAACCAGCCAGCCAGCCATCAAACATCCATCCATCCTTCTGTCTACACACCCACCCAAACAATAACCACCCCAAAACCTATTGAATCTCCATATGGCCCCAGGTATGTGAGGGATACAACAGAAGTGGAGAATCAGAGCCCTGCCTTCAAGGAGAAGACAATTCAGTCAGAAAAACAGGATGAACACACATAAGACAACTGGAGGTCCTCAGAAGGCAGCAAACAGGAAAGGCAGGATTGGGCTGCACCAGCTGCCAATGCCAGAGGCAGTTGGGGGAGGGAGAGATCATCACGGGCAGGAGAAATGATGGTAATATCAGAAAGAACTGGGGTTGGAGCTTCCCCCTCTTGCAGTAAGGCTAACCATAGAAGTTACTGTTTATTGAGCACTTACTCTGTGCCAGGCACTTTAAGTGATTTGCATGCAGCCAAGAACCCAGCCTTCTTCCTCAAAACCCTGAGACAAGGGCTGGCCCATGGCTCACTCGGGAGAGTGTGGTGCTGATAAAACCAAGGCCATGGGTTCGGATCCCTATATAGGGATGGCCGGTTAGCTCACTTGGAGAGTGTGGTGCTGACAACACCAAGTCAAGGGTTAAGATCCCCTTACCGGTCATCTTTTTAAAAACAAACAAACAAACAAACAAACAAACAAACAAACAAAAAACACCCTGAGACAAAGGCACTGTTATTGTCCTCAAGGAACAGATGAGGAAACAGAGGCACAGATAAATAAAGTCACTTGCCACACACCTTTCACAATGAGCATGAACTTCAAGGTCTCTGGGTAATTCTCTTCAAGGAGGCCAAAGAACTGTGGAACCAAGAAAGATCCTGTCAGAGCCCACATCTCATCTTCTGCTACCCTCATCTCCTTTGTAATCTCCTGTCTGGAGGTTTCAGAAAGCTCTGGAGTGTTTTCTTTTTTGTTATCACCTCCACTGGCCCTTGGAGGGGACCTTCTCATCTCAGACAACTATAACCACACCCTAATAATAATTACAAAATAATAATCATTTTTAGGATAAATGTCACAGTAATGATAGTATAATAATAATGATGATGATGACTACTATTTATTAAGTGCTCACTATTAGCCAAGCACTATGTACACACTTTACATAACAGCTCTGAAGTATCCCTGCATCGCTATTCACATATTGTAGGTGAGGAAACTGAAGCACAGAGAGGTGAACCGACTTTCCAAAGTCACAGAGCTAGTGGTGACAGGTCTGGGAAAGGTTTGGGGAAGCTGTTTCTTGTGGTCTTGGAACAGTGTTATCCCTGAAACCTGTCCTGTGAGATCTTCTAGGAAACATATTAAGATGTTTTAATATGGATCTTGAGTCGCAGTGATGGGCCCCGGGAAGGAAACCATCTTTTACTAAATATTGGCTGTGAGCGAGCAGCATGGTCACCGCAGGCCAAGCTGGTCATCAAAGCAAGTTGGGGGGTGGGGGGATATTCACAAGCCTTCTCCTCACCTCCTGGTATACTTCCACCAGAGGTTTCCAGAAATGCTTCAGTCCCAGGCCTTCGCAGTCAAATATCATCACAATGGTCTCGATCTTCTTCCCCAGCTGCAAGGATGAGAGGAAAGAGCAGTTCCAGGGTTCATGGTGCAGGCTTGGAAGATGGTGACCTGAGTACATGACCCCTCAGGGATTCTTCCAGCCCCCCACTGTGTCCTCAGAAGAGCAAGTGGACAAAACAGTAAATGTATTTCCTCACTCATCCGTTCATTTATCTATCCATCCATCCATCATCCATCAATACATCCACCATCATCTATCCATTCATACATTCATCATCTGTCTATTCAGCCATCCATCCGTCCATAAATCTATTCATTCACATCCATCCATCACCCATCCATCCACTTATCTATTCTTTCATCCGCCATCCATTCATCATTCATTTATCCATTCATTCATTATCCATCCATCCATCATCCATCTATTCATTCACCATCTATCCATCCATCCATCATCCATCCATCCATCCATCCATCATCCATCTATTCATTCACCATCTATCCATCCATCCATCATCCATCCATCCATCATCCATCTATTCATTCACCATCTATCCATCCATCCATCATCCATCCATCCATCCATCCATCATCCATCTATTCATTCACCATCTATCCATCCATCCATCATCCATCCATCCATCCATCCATCATCCATCTATTCATTCACCCATCTATTCATCCATCCATCATCCATCCATCCACCCATCCATCATCCATCTATTCATTCACCCATCTATCCATCCATCCATCATCCATCCATCCATCCATCCATCCATCCATCCATCCATCATCCATCTATTCATTCACCCATCTATCCATCCATCCATCATCCATCCATCCATCCATCCATCATCCATCTATTCATTCACCCATCTATTCATCCATCCATCATCCATCCATCCACCCATCCATCATCCATCTATTCATTCACCCATCTATCCATCCATTCATCACCCATCCATCCATTTATCCACCCATTCATTCATTCGTTCATCCTTCCATTTGCCCAACTGATATGTATTAAGCACTTAATTTGTGCAAAAGTATAATGAATAATGCACAGTTCTTGTCCTCAAAGGGTTCACAGATTTGTTGTTGGGGAGACTGACAAGCAACCAGAGCATTCCAGTCCTGTGATAAGTGCTGTGATGGGACAGCACAAGGGCTGTGGGAACACAGATGAAGGGTATTTAACTCAGATGGGGGCCCCAGAGAAGGTGACACTAACTTTGAGGCCTAAAGGATAAATAAGACAGAGCTCAAGGAAGTTGTGGGAGGTAGGTGTGTGTGGTGGGGGGTAGGGTTATTCAGACTGAAGTAAAGGCAAGGGCAAAGACTCAGGAATAGCAGTAACTACTACTGTTGAGAAATAAGTATTAGGCCCGTGTGCTAAGCCATATACTTGTATGATCTCATTTAATCTTTGCAACCATTGTTTATTATTATCCCTGTTTTGTAGGTGAGGAAACTGAGGCTCAGAGAGGTGAGGTGACTTTCCAAGGCCACACAGCTGGTAAGCAGCAGAGATGGGGTTTGACATGAGAGCCCTCTGACTATGGAGGTAGAGAACACAGGTGTGTTTTGGGGACCATGGCCTCCAGCACGTCATCTGCCCCCAGCCACCTGCCCCACCTGGACTGGGGCTCACCCGCTCTGTCTGCAGGTCACACTCATGCAGGATGCGCTCACAGTCTCTCATCTTGGTCTTGAGCAGTTCCTGCTTGGTGACTGAGAAGAGCAGTCCCTTGGGGTCGAGTGGCCCGATGATGTCATACCACATGGGGCAGCCATCACGGTCATAGCCGCACAGCCCCCCAGGCATATACTTCTGGATCACCTGGGCATGGGAAGATACATAGAACTTGGTATTACACACCTCCGCAGAGACCCCCAGTCTAGGCTGACCTGGGGAGCCGAGACTACACATACCATGTTACAAAGCACTGTTCCTCCCCTGGAGGGCGTGCAATTGTCCCAAGTGAGAAAACTGAGATCCTGCGGAGGAGGACCTTACTCACAGCCTGTAAATGGCAAAGCCAGGTTTCAGGTTGCCTAGCTCAAGGCCTCTGGGCTCCTTACATCTGCCTCTAATGTCTCCCATGTCACTTTCCATGGAGAAGAGTTGGGCTTAGCTATGGAGAAAGTGGATTCTGAAGGCTAACAGATCTGGTTCAAATACAGATACTGCCGCTTCCCCTGCTGTGTGCCCTTGAGCAAGTGGTCACCTCTCTGTAAAATGGTTTGGATAGTCCCTCCCTCTTGAGACTGTTGGTTTACGAGATAATGTTGGCAAAGCATAGTCCTTGGCTCAGAGTACATGGCCCACAAACGAAGCTGTGACCATTACTCTACTAAGACACCAGTAGTGGAGTGTCCTCATCAATGCATTGGTGGGCTAAGTTTCTCTCCCACCCAGACAGGACACTTCGAGCAAAGCCCTAGTGAGGAGGAGCACATAGACATTGACTAACCATGGTGCTTAACAGCCTGGTTTCAGAGGGCCAGACAAGGCTGGGCTCAAATCTCAGTCCCACTTCAGGGCTGTGGGACTTTGGGCAAGTTGCTTAAACTTTGCTGGGCTCAGTGTTCTCATCTGTAAAATGGGGACAAGAGTACCTACCTCATAGGATTGTGATGACTAATGAGCTCGTGCTGGCAAATTCAACCCAGGCCTGTGTCTTGCAAGGCCCCAGGAAATACTCATTATTATTATAGGAGAGTTGCCTGGGGGCCCAGGAGTTTCACAGATCTCTCAGGCTCATTACCTTTCACTCATGGTCTCCAGTGACCAGAGGCTGCTTGGGTGGCATGTCTGTGAAAGACTGAGGAGTTTTGTTTGGGGGGGCAGCGGGGATTGGCTCACCTCTGGGGGCTGCCAATCAAGGATGTTGTCAATGTCCATGGTCTTCCGGAACTCCATGTACTGAAAGGGAAATGATTGGTAAGGCCCTACTGGGATCCCCCCACCCTGAGAAGGGGATGAGCAGGGAATTGAGGCATGGATTGCCCCCCACAAAGCCCCTCCCCCAAACTCCAGGGTGGATAGGTCTCACCTTGCGGAGCATGGCCTCTGATTTCTGCAGGTCAAAATTCCGAGCTGTGGGAAGATGGAGAGAAAGGCATGAGATGAGAAAGAGTCTTCCTCATCTTGCCCCTGGCCAGTGGGAGCTACAGAGGACACTGGGGGCCTGGATAGGACTTGGCTTTCCAATCCCCTCCCCTCCTCTGGACCTGAACACATGAAGCAAGATGGTGTGGCCAGTTCCTGAGAGCCACAGGTCCTTCTGGAGCAGCTGGGACCAGGACCCTCTCGCTGCCACCGGACATCAACCTCCCCTATCTCTGCCCTCACCTCGGAGCCAGCGCAGAAGGAAATAATCATCAGGGTTGGGCAAGGCAGGCAACACGTCCTGGACATTTTCTCGGAACTGGGAAGAGAGATGCTGTTGAAGTGGCTCTCTCACATTGAACCCTGGCTTTTAGACTCAGAGATTATTTTATTACCCCTCCATCTCTTCCACAGTCTGGCCCACATTGATGGAAAGATGGACTAATGGATGGATAGAAGGAGGGATGGATCATTGAATAGGTAGGTGAATGGAAGGAGGATAGGTGGGTGATAAATGGATAGAAAGAAGAATGGATGAATGAATGAGTGGGTGGGTGAATGGAAAAAAGGAAACATAAATCAATGGACAGATGGATGGAAGGATGGGTGGATGGATGGATGGATGGGTGGATGGATGGGTAGGTGAATGAATAGAAGGAGAGGTGGGTCGATGAAGAGAAGGAGGGAGATTTCTGTGGGTGAATAGAGAGAATGAGGGATGGGTAGGTGGATGGATGGGTGGGAAGACAGACCAGTGGGTGGTAAGATGGGTGGGCAGGTAGAAGGAAGGATAAATGGTTGGGGGGTTAAGTGGACTGGAGTACGGATGCATTCTTAGTTCCCTCCACATGTTAGTCCACCAAGACTTCTGCCTTTCTTCATCCCATCTTCTACAAAAACATGATTAGTGATTATGCGTCCTCTTCCCCACTATGGGTGTGACGACACTCTGCTCCTTCTCTCCGGTTCTTACAGACTGGTCATCTTTCAGGGCCTCAGGGAGGCAGAAGGAACAGAATAGAGGGCAGACCAGCAGCAGCCTTCGGCTCCCACCGAAGGGGCCCGGGAGGGAGGAAGGTGGGGGCAGTTGCCAGATAAGGCTCTCTAGGTCTGGTTTCTGGAAAAGAAGTCAGCTGTGATGCTGGGTAGGCTGCTTCACCCGCACTACTGCCTGGATGTGGTGCTGTTCCCCTGCCCTGGACAAGACTGATGTCACTGGGCACCATGGGACTTCTACCTTTGGAAGATGACAGCAAAGAGTCAATGTCAAGGACACACTGAATCAACAGAGTGGAGCAGAATTCTGGCCACTTCGTCCCACCCCTCCTTCAGCCCTCTCTCCTGAGGCTCTGGGGGAGAGACTCTCACCTTGGCCAATGCCTCTGCCTGCACGGGGCTCAGGTCTCCGACTCGGCCGCTCATGGTGCAGGCTGAGGCTTCAGGAGTGGTGGCCACTACAGGCAGAATCAAGCCTGGTCCGCCAGCCCTGACCCAGCTGGGGCCTTTTGCTCCACTCCTGGGCGTGGCTCTGGCTGAGCCCCTCCTTGGCCAACTGTTTGGATTGCACATTACATAACTAGGATTAAGTGAGGTCCCGTGCTTGGCTCTGGGACAAGTCTGGGGGACAGGCGGGCATGAGAGAGTATGCCAGAGGTTCGCTGCCAGGAGGAGGTGGCTGGGAGGGAAGGAAGCTGAAATCCCACTGCCGGGTAGCCTAGACGTGTGCCTGTAGAAGCCCATCAGTGCTTCTAAGCCTCCAGCTACCACAGCCCTGGAGAAAGGGAAGTTTCAGGGGGGATGAGGACCACTCCTTGTGGGTACTCTTTCTCCTTGAGCCTCAGTCTCCCCATCTCACTAATGAAGAGACTCCATACAAGCGCTCTCCAAAGATCACCCCCCATGCCCAGCTCTGACAGGGTCCGAGTGTGAGGCTTAGTCAGTCTAGTGAACAGTCAACTCACTGTGTTGGGGGTGGGAGGCTCACATTCTCTTGTAACTCATGTGCACAGTCAAGAAGAGGACAGGTTGGGGCGGAAAATGGGATGTCCTTCGGGAAGATTTGTTTTCTCCACAGGGCTAACACTACTTTTCCTGATGTCTTTGTTTTTTTTTTTTTTTTAAAGATGACTGGTAAGGGGATCTTAACCCTTGACTAGGTGTTGTCGGCACCACGCTCTCCCAAGTGAGCTAACTGGCCATCCCTATACAGGGATCTGAACCCGCAGCCTTGGTGTTATCAAGTGAGCCATGGGCCAGCCCTCTGATGTTTTTCAAATCCCATTCTGCGGAGCTGGGCCTGAGGACCCCAACATGGGAAAAGGCTGGACACCCTCCACTCAGCTGTCCTCTCTTGCCATCACTGAGGTCATGAGGACAATAGGGGGCCTTGTCCAGGACCCCTCATCCCCTGGACCTCCTGTTATGGACCACTCCCCTAAGGGAGAGGTGGGGCAGGTTGATGGCCTTGGGTGTAGAGGGTGTTTCTTGGGATTTTAAACACCTGATCAGTGAGGGGCATCCATGGGAAGGGAAGGAGTTAGTGGGTCAACTATGTGAGGTGATGAAGAAAGCCTGGAAAGTTCCTCTGTCTTTTTTTTTGGTCACGCCTGATGTTCCACCATTAGATGTGCCTGCAAGGCCTGGCCCTGCTTCCCATGCCCCATAAAACCTCCTCTTGAAGATGACATTTGAGTGTCACTTACTTCATTTATAAAATGGGGCTATTGGCACTTGATTTGTCCTCCTTCTGTGGTTGGAGGGAAGATCTAATGAGACATAGAAACTGTTAAGGGTTGTGCACATCTAAGGGATTACTCTCCTCCAGCTCTCAGGAGTTCCGGGAAGGGAGAGACCACATTATCAATGACTGTAAAGAAACCATCAGCATGAGACAGCAGCATGGCCATGAAGCCACAAGCCACTTCTGGGCCTTGAAGGGGTCTGCATGGGCTGAAATCACCCCTGGGCTAGCCTCAGCTCCAACAGCTGGGCTAGCCTAAGCCACTCTACCTAGGACTCTCCCAGGTCCTCTACAAGTAGGCATCTTGGGTCTCCACGCTTGGGCTATCATTGGCCTCTATTCTGGGCCATCTTGGGGCCTTTTTAGGCTGATGAGGGTTGTTTCCGGATACCTACCTGCTGGACATCTCCCTTACTCTGGGCCCCTGATGGAGTTGGGTCCATAAGAAGGTGGGGCCATCTCTGGCCATTTTCCTCTGTCTGGGGCACTTGCTGTGTGCACTCAGGAACAGTTAGGTAACTCTCCACACCCCAGTCCCACCCCACCTCACATTCCAGCCTCGATTTCTGCAAAGCCAGTGACATGCAGAGATTGGGTTCCTCTACTGCCCTCTCATTAGTCCATAATCCTGTCCGTTTCTCACCAGTCTCCTTTCTCACCCTAATCCCTCTAACATGAAGCAACCCAGTTACTTCTGGGGGGAGCAGAGCTTGGGCAGGGAGGGCCAGGAAGAGGGCTGAGGGTCGTCCAGGAGCTGTGGGCCTTCAGAGACATCTATAAGCACTTTTCCTGACCCAGACCACAAATATGCACAGAGCACCTTCCTGTGTGCACATATGGTCATCATCTGCAGTGCCATCCAATAGAACTTTCTGTGATGATGGGCATGTTCTGTATTTGGGCTGTCCTATTAGACATATTTGGTAACCACTAGTCATATGTGAAATACGGTGAATGTGACTGAGGAACTGAAGTTTGAATTGAATTGAATTTTGATTAATTTTATTTTAAATTGCCCCATGTGTCTTGTGGTTTCTAGCTACCATATTCAACAGCACAGGTCAATCACATTTATTGAAGGCTTATTACATGCCAGGCTTCATTCTAAATGCATTACCTCATTTAAGCCTCAGAATGTCCCTGTGGGGTATGTACCATTGTTAAGCCCATTTTACAGATGAGCAAACACTGAGGTATAGAGAAGTTAAGTAACTTATCCAGGGTTAAGTCCATGCAATTAGCCACTCTGCTGTTGCACTGTGAGGCTATCCCACCGTCTCGGTTCCAGGAAACTTCCACCCTAATTAGGGAGAGGACCCAGGCACAGAAGTTACCTCAATATGATGCAGGTGGCATTTGAGCCAGACCTTGAAGAAAAGGAGGCTGTTGATTAGTAGAGAGAGCAGTGGAGGAAGGGCATCCCAAGGGGAGAGGATGGCACAGGCAAAGATGTGGTGGTGGGAAGATGAGAAGCACGCGGAGGGCGGTGTGGGGCTATCATAGCAAACCAGGTGGATTAGGACGCTGCTTGCACGGAATTCCCCATCTTCTATGTGCTGAGCATTTCCTCTGTGCTGAATGCTTCACATCATTATCAACCCGTTTGGAAGCAGGTGTGGGCGTCCACATTTTACAGCCAAAGAAAAGGAAATTCAGAGAGATTAAGAAACTTTTCTGAGGTCACACAGCCAGTAAATGGGAGTCAGAATTTGAACCCAAGCCTGTCTGATCAGAAACATAGCAAGCCCTGACTTTCCTTGGAGGGTTTAACATTGTGCCTGGAACAAAGTAAGTGCTCAATAAATGGTCAAAATTATCATCATGATTAGGAAACCTGGATTCACTCCCTTTTCAGCTGCAGGGTGTCTTGGGGCCAGCTTGATTTTCCCTTCCTTGAAACAAAGGCTCTGGGGAAGAAGAAACTGTCTCCCCTGCACCTTGAGTATACACCTTCTCCAAGCAAGGCCCCCACCTTATGTGTAGCTCTTCATTTGCCCAGCTCTAAAGGGACCATGGTGATAACCATGACACAAGCAAACAACCACAGAGGAGTAGATAGAGCCACCTATGCCGCACCCTGGAAACCGCCTTCCAGGCGGTTACTAGGAAAAGTGAAAGAGCTGCCCTCGGGGCCCCAACACTGCACATTCTTGTTTGCCTTGCCTGCAACAACCAGTTGAGCAAGTACAGAGGGGGCCCAGGAGATGCAGGATCCTTGCCATGGGGCAAGCATTGCTGGGAACAAGGGCGCGGTTCAGACCACAGAAATGTGAGGTGGGTGATAGAGAGGGAATTGGGGTGCACCTCACCAGAGTACCGGTAGTGTTCAGGTTAGCACCCTGGGACAGTCCACTTTCTGTCTTTCACCCTTGTGCAGTTTCTTCTCCTTTTTTAAAATAAAAAGTATTTTTTAAAGTGTGATCTAATTCACATACCATAAATTAATTATTCTTAAACTGTACAGTTTAGTGGTATTTAGTATATTCACAAAGTTGTGCAACCATCACCCCTATCTAATTGCAGAACATTTACATCACCCCCCAAAAAACCCTGTACCCATTAACAGTCATTTCCATTCCCTGCTCCCCTGAGCCAGCCCCTGGCAACCACTAATCTATTTTCTATCTCTATAGATTTACCTCATTCTAGATATTTCATATGAATGGAACTATACTGTATGTGGCCTTTTGTGTCTGGCTTCTTTCACTTAGCATAATGCCTTCA